AGAGGGGACTGAGTCCTGGCAAGGCTCCATGAGTGAGGAGGGAAGAAACAGGATTCTCAAGGCCTGGGCTTGAACGAGTGTGGACACCTTGGGCTTGTGAATTTAGCCCTCTCCCTTCTCTAGTCAAAGACGCAATTGCAGGAGCTCAGGTTTGAAGGGACAGCCCTGAAGGCACCATCTCCGCTCTCCCAGTATGGGTACCTCAGGATCTGTGGAACCTGACACAGGGTTCTTTCCCCAAAGCGGCCAGGACTGCAAGGCTCAGGGGCAGTGACAGGCCGGTGGCAGCTGCAGTGGCGCAATCATTCTGGGAAGCAACCTGAGTCTGGCCCGATTTCTCTGTGGCAGGGGAGAGGATCCTGAACGGGAGGCCCCTCGGGGACACCAAGGACCAGATCAGCTGCTGCTCCTCCGCCAGGAAGTCCCCCAGGTCTACACGGGCTGAGCACGGGTGTTGCTGGCTACGACCCAAGGCGACTCTGGGCATCCAGGCCAGCTTCTCCTCTCTGCTACCCGGGGCAGTCAGTTCGGCCCCTAGACACCTGTCACTGGCCTCAGCCTTCCCAAGCAGGGGCCCGGGAGGCCGGCTCCAGTCTTCTGGCGGCGTTTCTGGGCGCAGCTCCGCGACTCGCCACGCCGGGCCCGCCCCCTAGGGCTGCGGCGCGCGGGGCGGGAGCGGGGGGCTGCGCGGGGCGGGGCGGGCCCTGGAGCTCCGGGCCCCCTCCCCCGCCCCCCTGACGTCAGCCCCCGGCAGACTAGAGCTGCTCACTTGGCTCGCGCCCTCCGGCCGGGAAGCATGGGGCTGTTCAGGATCGTCTGCGCCTTCTTGTTAGCCGCCTGCTGCTGTCGCCACGCCGCGGGTGAGTTCTCTGGGGGCCCGGACCGGACAGAGATCTTCGATGGAGCGTGAGGGGAAGCAGAGCTGGCAGCGCGTCGGGGTCAGGGCTTTGCGCCCCGCGGGGCGCTCTTTCTGGCCGGGTCCCCGACCCCCGGTCGCCTTGCGCGCGTGCAACTCTTCTTTGAGCCAGTTTGTAGCATGGATTCTAGAGTATCTCAGGAGCAGGACTGGGAAAGGGTCGGGAGCCGGGAGGGGTGGAGCTGAGCCTCTTGGGGCGCTGGGGGGTGGGGGGTTGTCCCTCAGGTGTTTACTCTGGAGGCCCGAAGTTGGAGCCGTGGCCTCAGGCGCAGCTAGAGCGCATCCCCAAATCCTGAATTCTGCGCCCTCCTGTTGCTGGAAAAAGCAGCGTCCTTCGCTGGAGGGGGTGCGCCGACCCTCCCCCTCCCACTCCCGCCTGGGCATCACGCCAGGCTGGAGGTGAGCGAGAGGGGGAGGGATGGTGGCTTCCGCCTGAGCTGGGCGTTGGCAGGGTTGGGGGAGCGGTGCGGGTCGCCTCGTACCTCCCTGGGTGACGGGGTCACAGGTGGCAGAGACGAGGGATGAAGGATTACCAGAGTGGAGGCGCCCGCAGGCTTATTTTGGGGACCAGATTCACGTAGAAAGAGCGCCCAGGCACCTCGGAGCGTTTCCCTGGATCCGCGGAGTAGCGGGCGCTCCCAGGTCCGCGCTGCCCTTGTATGGTCGCAGCGGTCGCGTGTTTTTCTCTTGGCTCCCATTCCTTGGTCCCAGCTGCTGCCCGGCTGGGGAAGGGGCAGGCTAGGCCATACCCAGATCGCTGGACTCATGCCCAGTGGCAACCATGTCCCTGGGGTACTACTGCCTCCCAGGCTGACTTCATTTCTGGGGAAAGGGCTAACTCGGGCTCCACAGCTGCAGCAGATCCAGCTCCGGGAAGCAAGTCAGGGATCTGAGGCCTCTGGTCTGGGTTGAAGACCACTCCACCTGCCCTCCTTGTCCCGGAGCCAGCCCAAGGCAACAACCCAGGCATCCCAGAATCCAGCCAGATGGTGTGGAGTGACATCACCTCTCCACAGGGCTGGCAGCATGCTGGCACCATTGATGTCACTCCTACCCACTGCCTGGCCCTTGTCCTGACCCCAGGGGTAGATGTTGACCCCTCCATACTCACCAGACTCCCAGGATGGGGTTCCCTGAGTGTATATGTGCAGTGTTCATTGATTTACTGCTTAGGGAGTATGAGATGGGAGCTTCTGCTCAGAGAGACCCCTAGGGTCTTATAGTGGATTTGTGGAGGGAATTTTGGGGGGCAGAAGGTACAGTAGTGACGTCTTTCCTTGTGGGGTGGGGACACAAAGGGGCCTGTGTGCCCCCGCCTGGCACATGCCTTGCATTCCCACACTCTGAGCTCACTGAGAGAGGAGCAGGCCTGGAAGGGCAGGGGCCTTCCTCTTGGCCCAGAGCCTGGGTTGCCCCTCTCTGCCCCTCTGCCAGCCTCAGCTGCGAGGTGCCTGGTACTCAGTCTCTGCTCCAAGGACCAGGGATCCCCTGGACTGGGAGAGGGCTGGCCCCGTGGTCAGGGTAGTGGGAGATAAGGAGTGGTTAAGGGTTAGGAGACAACAGGGTTTTGACACCCTCCAAGTGGCAGGAGGGACAGCTGCAGGGAGCTCTGGGAGGGAATGGGATGGAGAACAGCTGGAGCTGACACAGCTGCCGGGGGGGTGCTCTTCTCTCTCTCTCCCCAGGTGTGCCTGGAGAGGCCGAGCAGCCAGTGCCGGAGCTGGTGGAGGTGGAAGTGGGCAGCACCGCCCTTCTGAAGTGTGGCCCCTCCCATGCCCAAGGCAACCTCAGCCATGTGGACTGGTTTTCTGTGAGTGCTTGGTCTCCTGAGAGCTGCTGGGGTGGGAAGCACCCCATCATGTAGTCCCAGGACCCCCACCTTCTCTCCGTCCTTTCCCCGTAGGTCTACAAGGAGAAGCCGACCCCCATCTTCCGCGTGCGCCAGGGCCTGGGCCAGAGTGAACCCGGGGAGTACCAGCACCGGCTCAGCCTCCAGGGCAGAGGGGGTGCTCTGGCCCTGGCTCAAGTCACCCCCCATGATGAGCGTGTCTTCCTGTGCCAGAGCAAGCGCCCTCGGTCCCAGGAGCACCGCATCCAGCTCCGGGTCTACAGTGAGTCACCCCTATTCCTGCCTTCTGGGTAGTATGGGTGGTAGGAAGCGGTAGTCCCATGCCCCCGCCCTGCCTTTTCCGTTGTAGAAGCTCCGGAGGAGCCAGACATCCAGGTCAATGCCTTGGGCATCCCTGTGAACAGTGAGGAGCCTAAGGAGGTAAGAAATGCCAGGCTGGCTGGTGGCAAAACTAGAATGGGGCCTGGAGGGGGCTCAAGTAGGGAGACTCACTCCCTGTCCTCCTTAGGTCGCTACCTGTGTGGGAAGGAATGGGTACCCCATTCCCCAAGTCATCTGGTACAAGAACGGTCGGCCTCTGAAGGAGGAGAAAAACCGTGCGTAGCCCTTTCTGCTCTTTCATGCTTGTGGTGCCAGGCAAGGGCCAATGCATCTTCTCTTTACCTAAAACAAAATTATACAAGCAAGGCTTGAAAGTTTTTTCATAAAAATTTAAGCTATCAGGCTCGGCACTTGTGGCTCAAGCGGCTAAGGCGCCAGCCACATACACCTAAGGTGGCAGGTTCGAATCCCCACCCCGGCCCGCCAAACAACAATGATGGCTGCAACCAAAAAAAAAAAAATGGCCAGGCGTTGTGGCGGGCGCCTGTAGTCCCAGCAACTTGGGAGGCTGAGGCAGGAGACTCGCTTGAGTCCAGGAGTTGGAGGTTGCTGTGATGCCATGGCACTCTACCCAGGGGGATGGCTTGAGGCTCCCGCCCAAAAAAAAAAAAAAAAAATTTAAGCTATCCAAGAAATCTAGAAGGAAAAGTTTCTTCCTGCCCCAGACCTCCTCCCAGAAGTAACCTCTACTATCACTGTGTATTCTTTCAAGCCTATTTCTGTACATTTCCTCATATAAATAAATATTTCTAGAAATGTATAGGCTTTAGTTTTTATCTAAATCAGTAGTCCTTAACCAGGGGTGACCTCCCCCCGAGGGGATATTTGGCAATGTCGGAAGATACTCGTGGCTGTCACAAGTAGAGGAGGGCTACCAGCATCTAGTGGATAGAAGTCAGGGATGCCACTAACATCCTGCAGTGCACAGGACAGCTTTCACAGTAAAGAATTAATTTGTCCCAAACATCAGTAGTGCTCAGGCTGAGAAACCCTGATCTAAGTGTATTTTATGGTATATATTGTCCTTTGGTATAATCTTTCCAGGTCAGTCTGCTAACGTCTTCCTGATTCATGCAACAATCACAGCAGTTTTCCAGGCTGTGTCTGTAGGACAGTTAACCATCACTCTGTTAGTGGCTGTCTAGAGGGTTTCTCATTTTCCTTTATCACACATCCTTGCATATGTGCAGATACTGAGGGTAGATACTTTGACCAAGTAAAAGTGCTGAGTTGAGGGCGGCACCTGTGGCTCAAAAGGATAGGGCGCCCGCCCCATATGCTGGGGGTGGTGGATTCAAACTCAGCCCCGGCCAAAAATGGCAAAAAAAAAAAAAAAAAGTGCTGGGTTGAAGGGTCCTCCAGTTTACATTTGTCCCTGGCCCTCCACAGGGTGCAGGAATCTCTTTAGTTCCCCCTCCCACCCCCACCAACACTTGTGGAGGCCACAGAGTGGGGTTGGAGGTGGGGCTGAGGCCAAGCTTTTTCCCCCTTCCCCAGGGGTCCACATTCAGTCGTTCCAGACCGTGGAGTCAAGTGGTTTGTACACCTTGCAAAGTATTCTGAAGGCACAGCTAGTTAAGGAAGACAAAGATTCCCAGTTTTACTGTGAGCTCAACTACCGGCTACCCAGTGGGAACCACATGAAGGAATCTAGGGAAGTCACCGTTCCTGTTTTCTGTAAGTACTAACCTGAGCCCATGAGTCCCTCAGCTCACGAGGGCTGAGCCTGTTGGCCTCTCCTCATCCAGCCCAGGGTCAACTTAGGCTTGAGAGCAACCGCCTTTGCCTATACAGACCCCGCAGAAAAAATATGGCTGGAAGTGGAGCCTGTGGGAATGGTGAAGGAAGGAGACCGCGTGGAAATCAGGTGTTTGACTGATGGCAACCCTCCACCCCACTTCATCATAAGCAAACAGGTGCGGAGGTCGTTGTGTTGGGTGCTGGCAGGTGCAGGCAGAAGGTGTGCTCTGTTCACCCCTCCAATCTCCCCCAGAACCCCAACACCACAGACATGGATGAACAGCAAACCAATGACAATGGGGTCCTGATCTTGGAGCCTGCCCAGAAGGAAGACAGTGGGCTCTATGAATGTCAAGGCCTGGACTTGGAGACCGTGGCATCGCTGACGAGTGAACCACAGAAGCTGCTGGTGAACTGTGAGGGGCTAGGGGCCCAGGACAGGGGAATCAGGCTGGGGCAATAGGGAACCGGTCCTGCCCTGACCAGGCTGACACTAATAACATGCCCCCAGATGTGTCCGATGTCCGAGTGAGTCCCCCAGCCCCTGAAAGCCAGGAAGGTAGAAGCCTCATCCTGTCCTGTGACGCAGAGAGTAACCAGGCCCTTGAGTTCCAGTGGCTCAGAGAAAAGGTACCCAGGCGGGTCTGGGGTTGTGGCTGAGAGGCAATGGGGTAAGGAGTGGGTAGGGCTGGGGGTGACAGCAGCTTGCTCTTTCCCAGACCCTCTGACCCATCTCTCAACTCCAGACAGGCCAGGTGCTGGAAAAAGGGCCTGTGCTCCAGTTACACGACTTGAAACGGGAGGCAGGGGGAGGCTACCGCTGCATGGCCTCTGTGCCCAGCATACCTGGCCTGAACCGCACACAGCTGGTCAACGTGGCCATTTTGGGTGAGGCCTTCTAAGCAGAGACCAGGTCACCCCAAGTTGGGTGGTTTTAAACTCTTTGAGGATGAACAGCCAACTGCTGCCCTGGGGTGCTCTGGTGGGGAGGGGAGGAGGGCTAGTCTAATCTGCTGCTTTACTTTTACCTACCTTCCCAAGGGCCCCCATGGATGGCATTCAAGAAGAAGAAGGTGTGGGTGAAAGAAAACACTGCGCTGAATCTATCTTGTGAAGCATCCGGACATCCTCGGCCTGTCATCTCCTGGAATGTCAATGGCACAGTAAGCAGGCCTGTAGCTGCCATGCTCTGGTTAATCCCTGCCCAGGCTTTGAGGCGGGGAAGGCGCTCTCCCCACCTGCTGAGCTGCCCACTTTCTTGTAGGCAAGCGAACAGGAACAAGATCCGCAGCGTGTCCTGAGCACCCTGAATGTCTTTGTGACCCCAGAGCTGCTGGAGACAGGCGTGGAATGCACGGCCTCCAACTCCTTGGGCAGAAACACCACCATCATCCTCCTGGAGCTAGGTGAGGGCCGCAGCCCTGCAGAGGCCAGCAGGGGCACGCCCAGGCTCGGGCACTAACTTGTGCTTCCCTAACCCACCTCCCTCTGCCTCCTAGTCAATTTAACCACCCTCACACCTGATTCCAACAAAGCCACTGGCCTCAGCACTTCCACTGTCAGTCCTCATGCCAGAGCCAACAGCACCTCCACAGGTAAGCCAGGCCTGGCAAGAGAAAGGGCTGTGCCAGGGCATCCTTTCTGCCCTGTGCCTCCCTCCCCAAGAGTCCTGCTGAGAAAGGTGAGTGGCAGCCCATGTCAGCCCTGGGCGGGGAGGGACATTAATGGCAACCTGGCAGCCTGGGGCAGGCAGTAAGTAGGAGTGTCTTTGTACAACAGAGAAGAAGCTTCCAGAGCCCGAGAGCCAGGGCGTGGTCATCGTGGCTGTGATTGTGTGCATCCTGGTCCTGGCCCTGCTGGGCGCCGTCCTCTACTTCTTCTACAAGAAGGGCAAGCTGGCGTGTGGGCGGTCAGGCAAACAGGAGATGTAAGCTGGCACCGGGCCCCCTCCCACCTGCTACCCAGCTTGCTGCCTCCTCAGAGACATTCCATGCCTGCCCCAGAGCCCACCCACCCCTTAGGAGCAGGAGTGGGATGCTGGGTCAAGGTGCTCCCCACTTCACTGCCCACTGCACAGCCTCATCAACCACACCTTCTCCTTTCTCCTTCCCGGCCCTGAGCTGTCCCCAGAGCACCAGAGAGCCCATCACCCACCCACGTCCTTCCCAACAGGCCCTCCCTGCCCTTGCCCCTGAGGTGCCAACCTCTTGCCTCCCTCCCTCCCCCCAGCACGCTGCCCCCGTCTCGTAAGAGCGAATTTGTAGTTGAAGTTAAGTCAGATAAGCTCCCAGAAGAGATGGGCCTCCTCCAGGGCAGCAACGGAGACAAGAGGGCTCGAGGAGACCAGGTAGGAGGCAGCTCCTGTGGAGTGGGCAGCAGGGCTAAGGGTTCTAACTCTTCCCATTCTCCATCCTTCTTTGTCAGAGGTAGGGAGCAGGCCCCATCTGGCCTTCTTAATATTACTCACAGATAGCAGGGCAAGGCAAGTAGCTGACCCTAGAGGAGCGGTTATCAACCTGTGGGTCACGACCCACAGGAACTGTATGTATTAAAGGGTTGCGGCATTAGGAAGGTTGAGAACCACTGCCCTAGAGAAAGAATGACGGCCAAGACTCTGTCCCCTCACCATCACCTTTCCCTGAACAATGCCTGTGGCTCTGGGCACTAGGTGTGAGGTGTGGCCTTCATTTCACCAGTGCAGTCAGCTGTTCAGACTGCGCCCTCCCTCCCCGGCCCTCTACACCATCCCTTGCTTCTTCCCATAAGGCTTCTGCAACAAGTTCATCAGCTTCTGCTTCAATCCCTCCTTCCTCTCAGTGCTCACACCTTCAATGCTGGGCACCATCTCCATGTTCCTTTCTTACTTCTCCTCTCTACCTGGTTTCAGGGAGAGAAATACATCGATCTGAGGCATTAGCTACTGAATCACGTTCAGCTCCCTTCCCCTGCGTGGAACGCCCCCAGCTCCCTGCTCACTCTTCCCCCAGCCAGCGCCTCCAAGGGACTGCAGAGAAGATACCTCCTCAGCTTGCCTGCAGACCCCCTTTCAGAGGACCAATGGGCTAGGGGTGGAGCTGTCCTGAGAACCTCACATGGCCCTGGAGGCCCCCTTTCCAGGGACCAGTCCACCACATCTTGGTTATGTGAAGCTCACTCCAAGGAGGGGGCCTCAGTCTCCCAAGTGGGTAGGAGAGCTCCTGACAGAACATGTTTTCTCTTTCCACATATTATGGCTGTAAATACCTGTCTTTATGCCAGCAGCTGAGCTGGATAGCCTCTGTGAGCTGGTTCCCTGCCCCAAAGGCTGGCTTCAGTAACCCATTCCCACCACTGGAGCAAGAAGGCACACGAGCCCAGCACTTGCCCATGGTCAATGTTGTCACACTGGCTCTGCAGAGTATCTAATCTAGAAGCACCTACAGTGTCACTGCTGCCACCTTCATTGAGTCTCGGTTGTGACACTTTTCTTTGGACAGAAGCCAGGACCTGGTGACATTCCTTAAAAGATACGTCCTTGCAGTGAGGCAACCAGGCACTGTTTTTGAGTCAAGGCAAACGAGCCTAAGTGGTGGGGATAAGAGAAAGATGAAGTCCAGAGTGTCCTTTATGGGGAATGAGGCCACAGTTACATTCGCACCCAACTTCTACAAACCGAGCTAGGGGGCCCAGACTCTGGAAGGGCCCATATGGCAGAATGGTACTTAGGGATGAGAAACAGGGGCCTGGCTAGAGCTTTGGGGTGAGTATGTAAGCGCACATATGTGTGTCTGTGTATATATATGGTTTTGTTAGGTTATGTGTAAATTTGCAAATCGTTTCCTTTTTATATATATATGAAAAATAAAGCTTAATTGTCCCAGAAATCTTACATTTCTTTTTTTTTACAGTGTGCTGGTTTTATATACAATTTGAAATACTTTCATCAAACTGATTAACGTAGCCTTCATGGCCTTTTCTTAGTTATTGTGTTAAGACATTTATATTCTACATTAAAAAGATTCCCATGTACCCTTGTAAGATGGATCATAGGTGTGGTCCCACCAATCGCCCTCCTTCCACCCGTCCTTCCCCATCCCCTCCCCTCCCTGTCCCCTTCCCTATATACATTTGTTTTCATTCATCATGGGTACCAAAGGAAACTGGGACCTCTGGAATTACAACTGCACCAAAAGGAAGGCAAAACGCTCCGCAGTTGGCCACCTCTGCTTGTGGACACAGTTTCAGCTCTCCAGCAGAGGCAGTCACTCTCCCTCTAGGCCAGTGGTTCTCAACCTTCCTAATGCTGTGGCCCTTTAATACAGTTCCTGTGGGTCTTGACCCATAGGTTGAGAACCACTGCTGTAGGCAGCTTGTAGGGCCTGCAGGGTGTTGGCCAGGAGCTGTCCCCTTTCCTATTGCTTAGAATTGCTCTAAAGGCAGCAGTACAGACCCACTGTGGTGATGAGGAAATAGGCCCTGGCATCTGGTCCTATAGCTACCTGGTGAATCACCCTGCCACCCCCCCCCACCTCAAATGAGCAAGAATGCAATCTGCTACAACAAAAGAAACTTTATTTAAAAATATTTTTTACAGACATGAGTGCTTGAAAAAGCTCTTTAGTTAACTGTGTATGGAAATGAAAAAAATTAATAAATAACATTAGTATAACAGACCTCTAAACATTAATACATTGGCAAAACAAAATGGACTTAAAATGAATGAAAATGAATCTTAAAGCTCTGCTATTCTCTGTAAGAATATTTACCTTCTGTTTTTCTTATTCTTTACAGGTAAGAATGATTAAATACTGCTAATATAAATTTTTTTATATTAATGACACATTTTTAAAATAGTCCACGAAAATCTCATCTAAGTGTTTGTTTCGTTTTCTTCTTAACACTGATATACAAATTGGGACTCTTCATTCTGGAGAAAGCATCAAGTTTTCTCTAGCCCCACCCAGGCCAAGAATTTCAGAATCTTGAATAAGGACGACTTTTAAAAAGAATTGTTTCTTTCAATGCTTTCTTAGTTAAAGGCAGGGAAAAACTGAGGAAAGGGTAAGAGATAAGTAAAATGTCATTATAGAGAAGATTTTTTTCCCTCTTTTGCTAAAACCTACAATGGTCACAATACCAAGGACAGGTTTCTGGCATGTGTTCCTTGCTGCCCTTCCCTGGGGAAAACTAGCCCCTGCAGAGGGCAACAGTTGCTTAATGCTTTAAATCCGAAGCCTTCAAAGTGAAAGGAAAGCCACGTCCAATGAAGGGAGGCAGGAGGTCTAGACCAGTTCAGGATCCAGCAAAAACACCAACAAATGAACCACCTCCCCTTCTTAGGGAGTCCATCCTACACTTCTCCACGCAGCTGGGTAACTAATAACATGAGGAGGCTGGGACACTTGGAATGGTCTAGAGTATACCTGGAGAATTATGGAACATCTGTCTCTTCTTGCAGGAGACAAAGCATTCAACCTGATAACTAAGCTGCTCATTGGGAAGAACCAAATAATTCCAGGGTACAATGCTGCTTTCTTCCAAAGAAGCATTGTGGCAGGGAAAAGGGACCACTGACGCACTGTACCTGCATGCCACCTCTCCACTCACAGACAGCACTCCGTCCTGTCCCCTAGACTCTAGGGACTGACACTCAAGGTAGAGGAGCTCAGACTCTGGTATTTCCATATTAAGTCCTAAAATGCAGCCTGAGATACAGTGCTGCCTTAGAAAGGCACAAAACATTTGGCTTTTTTTTTTTTCAGTGTGCTAAAAATTGTTTTGTTTTGAATAAAGGAAAAAGATATATAAGGTTAAAAATCCCAAGTCACCACAGCCAGAAAGCAGATGTAGGAGGTACCTCAGAGCTGCCATGCCCCTAGCACATGTTTCAGCAGGAAGCCAGGCGGCGTCCACTCTCCAGGGCACAGCGCTGCAGGCTGCAGGCTTACCCAGACAGCAGGAGAGAGCAAGTGGTCTGCGAACTCAGAAGCAGTGCTTTGCATTTTAAGTTTTAAGACAGCCATAAGCATGGCTACCCTCACCCACAACAGGGTCAGAGGTAGGTAGGGAGGAGGGAACTGACAACACTGGCACCCGGTTCACCCCACTTCTGGGCCTGAGCGTGGAGATGGTGCAAGGCCTGAGGAGCTGCGCAAGGCACGCATTGAGCAACAGTCCTCTCTGGCCTCCTGTCTGCTTCAAGGGTTGCAGGAGAACTTGTGAGAAACAACGTGGAGGGCCTCTCTCGTCTATTCTGGGGACTCAATCGGGATATGGGGCTGGGCAATCAGAACTCTGCTGATCTGCTGCCAAACCAGTAGGAGAGCTACCATCGGCTTAGGCGGTTGCTCTGTACAAATACCGGGAGTGACTGGCACACTTTTCTCAAGCACTATATTAGGGAAGGGGCAGCGAGAGCTCCAAACAGCTGTTAGTCAACAGCTGGCCCTCCAACACTGTCTTCCATGTGACTCCGAATGAACGTGCAGGGCTTGCTCTCCCACCCGTTTTCCCACCTCTTACTCTTGTGCTACTTTCCAGAACCCAGAAACACTGGCACTTCCCCTTGAAACCAACCCAGATGTCCCGGGACACTGTGAAGGCACATGGCACTGCTGTCCCTCTGCTCCTTAATTTGAGAGCCTCAACTAGAATATCAGATGCAAAGTCCGACGAACCACCCTCCCTCATGTGCCTTGATGTGTATCTTTGGATTATTAGGTTATTTCTGTGTGTAGCAAATGACTAGTAGTTTAAAAAAGTTTTAAGTAAGGCAGTATGAAATGCCTTATAATTCAGGACAGGATCTAGGAGGAGATAAATATAAAAAATTCAGGCAAGCAGAAGTATAGTTTTTAAAAAACCAAAACATACAGGACTAAAACAAAAGCAACTGGCCAGGGAAGACACAGGTATCCTGTCCAAAGAGCTCTGAGTAAAAACTATTCCAAACAGAAATCTATATTTAATTTATATCCTGGCAACTGGATACATATTCTTACTAGCTCTGACAAAGAAGTTTCTGAGGTACCTAGGAAGGCCTGCCTAAGAAAATTACTGCAGCGCTCCCCTCACATAGGAAGGAACCAATGAGCAGGCGAGGAGGAGGGGATGGAGGAGACAGGCCACGAGCCCAAGAATGAATGTATTTCCAGCATTAAAACCTGAAGAGAGGCCAGAAGTCCGTGGGTAGTGGCTACAGTGGAATCTCTTATTAGATTCTGCTCTCTATGCAACATGAAAGAAGGCTGAAGACCTGAGGTTGAGTGGAGGCTAAGGAATGCCACCCAGGAACAGATTTGCTCCAGAATAGGACAGACTGGCCCGAAAGAGGGAAGTCAGGAATCTTGGATGCCAAGACTGACAAAGGGAAGAGAAACAGGAACTAAGGATTTCCTCAGTGTCAAAGACACTCCCAGGACTGCCCTTCCACTCTCAAAAAAGCACGATAACACCAGCTCTGCTCCCAGAGAGGAAGTCTTCTTAGGTTATCTATGGAGTCTTTACCCTGGTCTCTGAGAACCTCCCCTCCTGGCTGAAGATACGTGCTGCTGCCGCAGGCATATGCCATCTCTGCTGTCCCTAGCAAGGCCAACTGGTCAGGGTAGGCACACCTGCTGTGTGTGCTGGGCTGACTGTATTCTTTCTTAAGAGTAAGAACTATGAAGAACTGGGAATCTGTTCATGGTAATCCTCAGAGCTGGAAGGTTGTCCGCGCCTGAGGACTGGGGTGCTTATTTTGTGGCCATGTGTGACGATGAACAAGTGGTGAGGCAAAGGAAAGGACAAAGTATAGACCCCACAGTTCCGCACCATTCAAGAACAACTGTACACCCATCCTGGGTGCCATGAGATACCTGCATCCTCAACTCCTCTTCACCCCTTTTTTTAGCTTGAACATTCTTGATTCTTATATCCAAGGATCCCTAACCGGGACAGTCAAAAATACAACCTCAACCTTCTTCTACCCTCCTCTGTATATTAAGTAGTTACATGCATTCCTAAAGAATGATTGCCAGTGTAGACTGAGATCAGTGTAGGAAAAGTAATGGTTTATGCCGTGTCAGCAGAATGCTTTAGACTGAACTTGTAAAGCTTTACGGTGGGTAGAATGATGTGCTGACACTATGCTTTAGGGTCTCTAAGCTCCCCACTCCAGGAGGTAAAGACATTTAGAGAATTGACTGAGTTCAATCTCTATTACTGTCCAGCTCTTGGAAGACCAAATGACTGAAGATCAGGACCCAAAGGCAAATAGATGCCCACCCCTTCCCCATACCTCTAGTCCTAACATAAAATTAGCTGCAAAGTTTGCTGAAAGATTAGAAAACAAATTTCAAATAGCATGGGAGCTGGTGACAGGTCCCAGAGGGCAATAAGGAAACGTTCCCAACCAAGGGGATCAGGGACATAAGCAGCTGAGTAAAAAGACCAAGGAAGGTACTCATTTGGAAAGGGGACTGTGGGCAGACACTTGGTGCCAACATTTAATGCCCTACTATGTGACTCACAGACAAAAGACCCCTCAACCCACCAAACAGATTCCAATGAAATGCACAATAATGGCATGCTCTTATACCAATGCTCCATGCTCTTATACCAAGGAAGACAGCAGGCTTGAGTCCTGACCGGATTCTAATCAGGAAAGTAAGTCTATAAAAAAGACCTGTGAGTAAAAACCACACAGGCTTACTGGGAAGAGTTATTTTAGGGTCAAATGCAATTGTTAAGACAGCCCAAGTACAATCCTCCAACATCAGTGAACTACAATGTGGTGGCAGGGAAGAACACAGCTGGCATTTGTGCCACATGGTAATCACTCAAACGTGCTGAGTGAATAAACTATTACAGCCAGGCTGATGGTCAGAATGCTATTATTCAGTGAAGTGGTCACTGTACAGTCAGAAAGGCCAATGGCAAGAAGGAGGACTTAAGACTTTGGGAAAAAGTTCTACAACCTTCTGCATTTCCATAATGTGAGGTAGGAGAATATTCTGTATTAATGCCACTGCAGATTATCCACAAAAAGGACTAGATCTTATAGGGAATATATAGCTGGTCCCTAGTTTTTACAAGCAAGTTTTGTTACAAAAATTCATTTGTAGGTTTGTTGTTTGGACCATAAAACACATTTTATGTTTATAGGGGAAACATGTATTTTAAGTATGAGGAACAGGAACCCACTCACCCTAAAAAACATTTTTTTTAAATCTATAAAACCACTAAACGATACTAATTAAGTACAACCCCACACCTTGGGCCCTAGTGATGACGGTCCATAAGAAGAGAAGGAAAACACAGTAGCATTTGCCTGTAATCCTGACTACTCCACAGGCTGAGACAGAAGGGTCATTTGAGCCCAGGAGTTTCAATCCAGCCTGGGCAACAAGGTGAGACCTTGTCTCTAAAAACAAAATTAAAAACTTTAAAAAAAAAAGGAAAAAGAGAAAGAGTAGATGATTATGTGCAGTGGGGGGTGGAGAGGAGAGGGGGCCAATAAAAGAGAATGACTTCCACAGGCAGAAATCACTGCTTACAGAAACACCAACACATAGATGCTGACGTGATGAGCTGCCCGGTCTGTTATTTAACGCAGGGAGGTCTCTATCACAGACCCGCAGGCTTTTTCCACTTTAAGAATCCTCTACTTCAGTGGAAAGAGTAGGAAGGGGCGGATGGAAAAGTCCAGGCCTGCCCGCTGCTCAGCAATGAGGCAGGCAGGCTCTGTAAGGCAACCCAGGAAGAGACAGGAAAAGCAGGAAACTGGGCTGCACAACATAGCCTGATGAATAGGAGAAAAAGGAAAATATGAAAGCGGGTTTGTGTTTTTGTTTTTTGAGACCGTCTCACTTTACTGCCCTTGGTAGAGTGCCATGGCATCACAGCTCACAGCAACCTCAAACTCTTGGGCTCAATTCTCTTGCCTCAGCCTCCCAAGTAGCTGAGATTATAGGTGTCCGCCACAACACCCAGCTATTTTTAGACACAGGGTCTTGCTCTTGCTCAGGCTGGTCTCAAACTCATGAGTTCAGGCGATCTACCTGCCTTAGCCTCCCAGAGTGCTGGGATTACTGGCGTGAGCCACCGCGCCCAGCCGAAAGTGGGGGTTTTTGACCTTACTGATTAATCATTTGTAATTAGGAGGGGGAAAGCCTGTACACAAAAGGATGGTTTTAGTTCGATTCAGAACAGAGCTCCCAAACTGCAAACTGTCGTACAAATGGAGAATAAAGAATGGATTATTTGAACCTAAGTAAAAGGAAAATCTAAGAAGTTAAACTATTGAGAATATCCTCAAAACAAGAGCCATGTCGTAAGGCTGACCTGGCTATCTCAGACATGGACCCAGGTGTGTCCTCAGAGCACCAGTCAAAGGAAACCTTCATGAAATGGTCCAAAACCTTGAATGTCTGCAAATACACATCTGACAAACTAACACTTATCAGCCATGCACATGCCCAATGCCAGGACCTGGAACTTCAGTTTTAGGGTTGGCTCAAAGAGCCACCTGGGAATCAGCAGGAAAGGAAAGGATGCAACTGCCTGTAGCCTGTATAGGAC